GGGCCTGACCGTGTCTCCACGCAGCCTCCTCAAGGACCACTGTGTGCAGCACCTCCCCGACGGCTCGGTGACCGTGGAGTCCATCCTCATCCAGGCTGCTGCCCACTCCGAGGACCCAGGCACCAAGGTGCTGCTGGTCTCCTGGACCTACCAGGTACGTGCAGGACCCAGGAAGCTGGCACCGGGCAGTGGGTCAGGACAGGCGGGGTCACCCCTTCAGCCTGGGCTGCCTGGGTGGGGAGGATGGGACGATGACTCCTGTGTCCCCTTGTAGGACGAAGAGCTGGGGAGCTACCTCACATCTCTGCTCAAGAAGGGCCTGCCCCCCGCCCCCAGCGGAGGCAGCTGACCACTGCAGGCTGCCTGCCCTTCCCTCGCCCAGCCAGGGGCCCTGGGCTTCCACTGCAGGACAGTTTCTGTGCCCTGGGCTTCCCTCTGTGCACGTGCAGCCCGCAGCAGGCCACAGCCTCATGTGGGGCAACACCAGTGCCACATGTCTGCCTGAGTGGCCTTTTGGGTGGAAGAAATAAATAACCCTGAAGACCTCTTCACGTTTTATTTCTGCGTCTGCGCCCGGGATATTAATTCCCAGTAACAGACCCAAAGGCTGCTTGTGTTCCGTCTTGGTGCTCACACCTGTCTCCTGCACCTACGCCCAGGGCTGCCCACCGGGGCAGATGGGCACCCAGGGTGCTGGGGGCTTGGGGAGCAGGAGGCCGGCTGTGGCCCCAGGCAGCCGAGTGCTTGGCAGCACAGGGCGTGTGGCATGTAGAGCTAGGCAGGATCCAGTGGCCAGGCCGAGGGAGCCACGGGTGCTCTGGCCTTGGCTCGGCACCTGGGGCCACCTGTGGCTTCCGTGCTATGGAGCCTGCAAACCTCGAGGCCGGAAGCTTTGGGACTGCTGGAGGCAGGACCTGTGGACAGATCCTAGGTCAGCTTGGGAGCCCCCCCTCAGCCTCCCTCCCCCACTGGGGACTCGGGGTGTGTGGGCTGAGGGGGCTTGGCCCTAAGGGGCATGGGCACCTCACTCCTGGCCGCCTGCCTTCGGGCCGCCGGTCTCCAGCCTGAAGTCTTCTGACGAACCCGGAGCCTCCCTGCCCCCTGGTCCCTGGCTCTCCTGCTGGGCACAGTCTGGACTCCCAGCTGCTAGAATGAGATGAGGGCTGTGACAGCACGGGCTCCTCCTCCCGCAAGGACCCGGCCTGGACTGGGCCCGTCAGCGGGTACAAGCAGGGGCCTCCCCAGGCACCGCTCACCGGAAGGCACCGCTCACCGAGGTCGCTGAGGCCCCCGAACCGCACCGACTTCAGGAACAGGCCGTGGGCTGGGGCCACCCGCGTCTGGTGCCTGCCCAGCGGGTCCCGGCTCTGGAGAATCATCTTCACCTGAGTCGGGGTCACAGCCCCCAGCCCCACGGCCACCAAGATCGCTGTCATCCTCCGCACCTGCAACCCAAGGCTGAGCCTGCCACCTGGGCCCGCGTTCCCGCGTTCCCACCTCCCCCCGGGCGGGCCCCAGTACACAGCCCACCTGTCTGTACAGGAAGGACTGGCTCTCAAACTCCAGGCTCCAGAACTGCAACCTCCTGGGGACACAGGCACCTGTGATGTCGGGGCCACAGGGCAGCCCGGCCTCGTTTGGCCCCAGAGAAGGGAAGTGGGCTGGGCAGGGCAGAGGCCCAGAGACGTACCCACCCTCTCTTCCACCCCAGGGGCCTCCTAAGGGAGCTGTAAAACCAGAGGGAGGGGCAGCGGAGCCTTCTGGGGGCCTTGCTGTGGGGACAGGGCCTCGGGAGATGCTAAGGTCCTGGCATCAGGTCTGAGGCTCTGACGTGAGTCTAAGGCTGACCGTGCAGAAGGCCCTCCTCCCTCCAGAGCTGGCCCCCACTAGGAAGGTTCTAGAAGTCAGCAGCTGCCATGTGACCAGAGGCCCGTGGGACAGTGCTGAGGCAGTGGAACCAACCGTCAGGCTGGGCCGGAACCAATGCCTGGAGCTCCCCCAGCAGGACCTTGTCAGCAGCTGCCAAGACCCACCCTGAGCAGTGAGCTCGGCAGGGCTGGGAGCCCTCAGGGAAAGCAGCCTCGGCCTGGGGGGAGGCACCAACTGCCCAGCACGCCCCCAGCGGGTGCCCACACATCCTGCCTCGGCACTGCCCTCAGGGAAGGCGCTGGGCCTCATGCAGCCCCCGTGGCCTCCGGACAGCCCACGGGCTGCTCTCCTCACCTGCTCTCCTGGGGCAGGACAAGGGGGCTGGCTGGGTCCAGGGACACGGAGGCCCGGCGCAGCGTGCGCACCGAGCTGGCAGAGGGGCTGCCGGCCGACTGGAAGGCGCTGAAGTCGTGTGTCCCCAGCAGGTGCTGGGCAGCCTCCCGCATGGCAGCCACGTCCAGGCGGCTGCAGGGAGCCAGCTGAGTGGTCAGGAGGAAGTGGCCAGCCAGGTGGGCCTTCCCCCCCGCCCCCACTGCCACACACACCCACTCACTCTGCGTGCACAGCCCAGCATCGGTTTCGCTCAAACACAGACAGCTGGTCATGCCGGGGGCAGCCGGTGACCAGGCGGTACAGGTAGGTCCGGGATGTGGCAGCGTAGCGGGCATGGAAGTCACTGGGCACACGGAAGGCCTGCAGGACCCTGTGGGAGGAACACGGGGAAATGACCCCCCCCCACACACACACACACACACATGTGTCCCCTTGGTATCTCCCCAATACCCCGAGGAGGTCTGTCCAGACACAAAGGCCTCCCTGACCCCGCCTCTACCCGCGGTGGATCCGAAGGTCAGAGCAGGGGGTGCTCACCGGATGGCGGGGTGCCTCAGGTGGGTGTTGAGGGCCTCGGTCAGGACCTCGGGGGCGAAGGGCGGCT